GGCTGGACAAGCATGTGATCCAGAAGATTAAAGGGATCACTTGGACTTGCTCCCCAGTAAGAGCTCTTTCAACATGAGCCACTATTAATCATAACTCGAGGGGAAGATTTCCTTATGTTACCTGTTTTTAAGTCGAATTAGGGCAAGTGAGACACCTTACCTTCCTCTTAAAAACAGCTATATTTAAACACTTCCTTTTTGTTTACATGTAATCTGGCTCAGCGGTAAAGAAACCGCCTGCCAATGCAGAAGACTCGGGTTTGATCCCTGGGTCAGGAAGATCCCGTGCAGAAGGAAACGGCAATCCACTCCACTCTTGACTGGGAAATCCCATGGGTAGAGAAGCCTGGTGGGCTAGTCTGTGGGGTCGCAAAAGAGTCGAACACAGATAAAGCGACTAAACAACAAATCCTAGATGACAACATTATCCTTCTGCTGGTCTCTGAACTGCAGAAAGAAAGGGTTTTTAAAAAAAAAAAAAGAGAAAGCAGATTGCTCTCCTTCCCTTCGTCTCTAGGTCTGAGTGCTTCCTTAGGAATTTGCTCTGGGTATTTGAAGAGCACCTTGTTCATCCTAGCTCCTATGCCAACATGTGTCAACATACAAATCCTCTCACCCTGCCCCACCAGAGGTGAGGTCATCACCTGCAACTGGGAGGTCACTTGCTGAAGGTCATACAGTGGCAGAGTGGGGGGAGCTCAGTCAATCTATCCATCTAATCTCTCCTTCTCTGATACGTGTATGTGTAAGACACAGACACACCTCTTATGTATCTATGGATGGTTTCCTGTTGTCATTTCCTGGTTACTGACTCTCAGGCACAATAATAATCAGCAAATGATCTGTGCCACAGGCTAAAAAATACTTCATGGCCCTGAGGAAAGGATGGGGCCTAAGTCACTAGTTTACCTGCCAGTATCATTAATAATTACTGATGATTTGTTCTATTATGAAACACGGAACTGACCAACTCAAACAGAGTAGTATTTAAAATCTTCAGGCTGAGATGCGCTCTACATTCAGCTCCAGACTCAGCAATGATGGGCTGGACACCTGCCGAAAATCCATACTCATGTGGTTCCTAGGACAGCTTTGCTCTGTCTTGCCCAGAGAGGGGAGAATAAAGACCAGGTGACTATCAGGCACTGCTGCAGGTAGAAGAGCTGGGAAGAGCAGGCTGAGGGACTGAGGACACCCTCCGAATGCCACACAGCTCACCAGAAGCACTAACTGTAGGTCAGACGGAGGCTGCACTGGCTAGGGTTATGGATGACATGGAGGGGCTTCATTGGCCATTGAAACCAGGATCTGGCAGGAGCGGGACAGAGCTGCCACCCCTTGACCTTAGCCAGTGGGGGTGACCTGGCCCCCACTCTGCCCACCTCCCCTTCCTTCTGAGTCTGGAAGGCCCAGCCCCTACTCTTGTCCCCTAAGGCTTTCCCTGACCACTCAACAGGAAAGTTGCTCTCTTTGGATTCCTACAGTGGTTATACTCTGCACATTTGGCCATTAATCATATGATGTTCTCCCTGGCTCTCTTTGGTTCATTCAGTCATTCCACAAATATCTGCTAAACAACTGCCCTGTGCCAAGCACTGACGGGATGGCCGGGGACCCTGGAGTGGGTAGGAGGTGGATTTCTGCCTTCATGAAGCTCACAGGCTGGCGGGGGAGGCAGAGGGAGAAGCAGGTGAATTATGCAGAGTTATAAACTGGGTAAGTGCTATGAAGAAAACACACAGAATGCCAAGACAGAGACTGTGGGGCAGGGAAACCTCACAGAAGATCTCTCTGGGGAGCTGACATTTAACTACTACGAACTTCTAAATGTCCATTTGCACTTTGCAACTCCCAACAGGCTGGAGGGCAGGGGAAGCAGACCCTCAGGAGGGGCACTCTTGTAGCTCAGTTTGTGCTCTGGACAAGAATGTGACTCTAAGGACTGCTTTGGTGAGTAAGTGCCCCCTCTGACAAGCCCCTTGAGTGATCCGGCGACGGCAGCAACAACAAAGCCCAAAGCCAGCAGTCCCAGGAAGCATTTGACCCAACAGACCTGTCTCTGGCTCAGAGCACAGAGCCCAGACCAAGGAGGTCGACAAAACAGGTGTGCTGGATGCCCGAACAAACGGCCAGCTTCCAGACACCTGGCCCACTGCCAGGAGGCCTGGAGGCTGGCATGACCTGTCTGAAGGGCAACTTGGCAAAATCTGCCAAAACATACAATGCTTACGCCCTCTGACCCAGTAAATCCCATCACCTGGAATCTATCCTAGAAAATACTGGCATGTGTGTGCAACAGTATGTGAGGAAATACGCAGGGTTCTTCCATTTATAACACCAAATCAACAGAAGCAATGTCGATGTCCATCAGTAGTGGCCTACCAGTCACAGAAATCATAGGACATCCTGCCACAGAATGGGTATCACGGAGCCGTTTAAAAAAAAAGTGATCTCAAAGTAAAATTATTAAGTGGAAAAACAGCCAGTTAAAGAACAGTATTCAGCGTGGGATGTCTTTATGTTGGCATGTGGACTTGCAGCTGTATGTTAACACACAGAGGAAGCCTGCAAAGACACACACCAAACTGATTCTAACAATCACATCTGCCACAGGGCAAGAAGAGATGCAGGCTTTACTTTACATCTCATATGCTTCTATTTTGTCGTCTTTTCCCCGGCAGTAATGAATTCACTCATATGATTAAAAATGCATCTTAAAGGTTTTTTTTTTTTTAAGATAAAGTTCAATGCCAAGAGATCAATCTAGTGTTTCTCCATAGCTCAGCCTCGAACACTCTCCATCCAATTGGCCTTGGCTCCTACCTCTAACCACTTTCTCCTTTTTCCAACAATTCAGTTTCTCCTGGCTTTGTGGCACCTGGTGACTTGTAGACATTTCCCATAACATTTTCAGACACCATTTTCTCATTAAGACAGCCACAGGACAGAAAGCTGTTATCTGGAAAGTTCCATGGATACTTCATAACCACTGCAACTGTATTCCTGACCCACAGTGACCTGACGACCTGACAATAAGCTGTGGACTATTTCAGTGGAGCTTGCCAAGTCCCCCAGAGGCCCAGGGCAGGCCCCATGCCAGTCATCACTTTCAAAGGAAAAGGAAGGGGATTTCAGCAAGACAGAAGAGCCAGAACAACTTTTTGGATTTCTTCAAGGTACTTCAAGAAGTTTGCAGCCTGCAGATTTCTGTTTGCATGGACAGAGGCAGGAGGTGCTGAGTATCCACCACCAGTAACCTGTGTGTGTGACAGGCAGAACAGATCCCCTGGCTTGCTCCCATCCAGTCTACAGAGCTCTCCATCTCTCTTCCTGCTGTGCACAAACTAAGATAAATAGCCAGGCTGGACATGAGTTGTCCAAAAACGTCCATGCAGGAAATACCAGACCCATCACTCATTGCAAGAGCCCTAACTCCCTTCTTCTTTCCCAGCAGCTAACCTTGGAGGCAAAAAGTCTCCGTGGGGATTATTCACTGGCATCACTGGTCTCTCTAGCGAGCTGTGCTTCCCATTAGTCCATTATGCACAGGAAATGCCAGGCTGTGCCAATGGCAATTGAAATGGTGAACAGCACAAGTGATTCTCGTAAGACCTCGACAATTAGGACACAGCTGACCTGAGGGAACACAGCATGGTGAACGAGGGGCCCTCAGAGAAGTGTGCTAGACAACCTGCAACAGAATCGTTGGAGAACTTGTTAAAAATACAAAATTCAAGGACTTCCCTAGCGGTCCGGTGGCTAAGACGCCAATGCAAGGGGCCTAGGTTCGATCCCTGATCAGGGAACAAGATCCTGAGTGCCACAACTAAAGATCCCAGTGCAGCCAAATAAAGAAATATTAAAAAAAAAAAAATCCAATCAATACCTCTGGGAGTGGGATCAGGGAATCTGCTTTAAAAAAAAAATCAAAGCCATGTAACTGTGACAGCTGTAAGATAACCACAGGACTTAAAAACACCTTAACAAGGAATCTGCATTTTTTAACAAGCTTCGTCCAATGATCCTGATGCAGAGAACCACCGCTCCATGGCCCCAAGGGAGAGGCTGTCCCCGGGCTGGAGGAAGGCCGGAGCTCCATGCCGGTCTCTCTCATTTTAGGATGCCTCTCGGCCTCCTCTCTGGCTAAATTACTTCTCTCCTAAGGACTCTGCCTTTGCTCCCGCTGCTCCAAAGTCCACAAAGTCTCCCCTCCCCACTCTCACAAACTGCTCTCACTCTGGGGGCCTCAGTCCAGGAAGTCATGGAAAGCAGAGTGTAGGGGAAGAAGCAAACTAGCCAAGATGGTGTGGTCAGGCTCTCTCACCCCACAGTCTCTTGTTCTTGCCCCACGTTTTGTAAATAATGATGATGTAACAGCTGAGATCATTTAGAGCCCTGCTCATGTGCATCACGAGGTACTTGTGTGGCCATAGGCTACTTCTGTTCTGTAAGTACATATAAGCTCCACCTGGAAAGCCACTGGGCTATGTGATGTTATGGCTGCTTCTGCATCTTCTGCGCCAGCCAGAAGAGAATAAATGTGTCTGCAGTTCCTACAGCTCCTCGTGTCTTCTTCCAGCCTCTTAGTTTGCACCTTGCCTACCCTGGGTTCAACGAATAGTGCGCACAGTGAGATACAGCAAGACAACTGGTGCTGTGAGCAGGATCAGCAATACACCAAGCCTTCCCCAAACTTGGTTCTTGGCTCCTCTAATGACCCTGGGCAATCGACAACCTCTGTGAGCCTTCGTTCCCATTTGTAAAGTAGGGATCACAGTCTCACAGGCTTGCTGCGAGAATTCAATGAAATATATGTTAGCCAAGTTCAGTTTCCCCCACTGCTCTTACTGCCCTACCTTCTCTACAGACCCTCAAGCTACTTGAGGGGAAGAAGTGCCCCTCATTCACGTCCAAACACCTGCTGGCAGAACCCAGGGCCCAGGTGGAATGTTTGAGGCTGCTAAGTGAATCCCTTTCACTGGGCTGTCCTTGACTCTTACCTGCCCAATGTTGAAGGTCAGTGTGATGGCATAAAAGAAGTTGGAGTTGGCACTTCCTGCGTAAATCCAGAGATGCCACAGGACAGGGAAGAGCAGGGAGCAGATGATGATGATGCAGGCGAGGACAAATATGTTTCGCAGAACTGCAAAGAAGATGGTCACCATTAACAGGACTACAAAGACACATGGTTACAGTTAGCCTGGAGCTGACTCTCTCTGGGTGTCAGCAAGACTTCAGCAAGACTCTCCCTTGTGGTGATGGCCCTGCAGCACAGAGAGGCCCAGGAAAAGCTTGGTGGAGCTCAAAGGCAGAACGCCTCTGCTTCCCCACCCCAACACACACACACACACACACGACGCAACCTCATACCCTTGGCAATAGCTCCTTCCACCCAAAGCTGGTGGGAGGTACTAGACTTGGACTCTACCTCCGACTCCGGGCTCAGCTGGCTACAGTCAGTAATGCCGTGAATGCCTCTGGGCACTGCAAGGGGCGGGGAAACTTCAGCAAGACACTACCCTTAAACCCCCAATCCCAGGGTGTCCATGAGTAACTCCTCTCCTGGCCCCAAGCAGCGTGCTTTCTGACCTCTGTGGATCATAGATACGAATAGCAGCACAAACCCCTCAGTGTCTCTAAGGTGCCACAGCTCAGGTCTTAGGAAACACATTTTCCACTCTCCGCAGTTCATATCTTAGGTCTCCTGCCTTGCTTTTCAAATGTCCCTCACTCTTCCTTAGATGATCTCTTTTTTTCTACCCTCCCTCTTTACCATGATCTCCCCACTTCCTGAGGGAATGTAGAATCTCACCAGGGAGAAGCTCCCCCGAAGCCCCTGGGAGGACCGGCTACACAGAGTGGTCTATGGGCAGGCTGGCAGGCAGAGTTCCACTGGGGGAAAGGCAGCCTGATAGTGGGGCACAGACCTCAGAAAGAGCTTGGTTAAAATTCCTAGGGACTTTCCTGGTGGTCCAGTGGTTAAGAACATGCCCTGCAATTCGGGTTCACTCCACTGTCGGGGAACTAGGATCCCACATGCCACAGAGCAACCAAGCCCTCGCACTGCTTTTAGAAGCCCCCCATGAAGATCTGGCAAGCGTGAAGAACTGGCAAGCTGCAGTGAGACCCGATGAAGCCAAATAAATAACTTAAAAAAAAATTCCTGCTCTTCCAGCAAGTTTCTCAGAACTTCAGCTTCCACATCTCTAAAATAGGGCTAAAATGCCTACTTCATGGAGTGTTCCATGAATTAAACAGTTGTGGAAAAGCTAGCAAGGACGTATTACCGTGTTTTCTATTGCCATGGTAACAAATGATCACAAACTTAGTGGCTTAAACAATATAATGCATTGTCTTACAGTCCGGGAGGACGGAAGTCCACTGGCTCTAGGGGAGAATCCACTTGCTGGCCTTTGCAGCACTGGGAGGCTGCCGGCACTCCGGGCTCAGGACTCCCATCTTCAACCAACAATGTCGGATTGAGTCCTTCTCATGTCATATCATTACGGCCTCCTCTTCTGCCTCCCTCTTCCACTTTTTTTTTTTAAAGGACTTTAGTTTTTAGAGCAGTTTTAGGTTCACAGCAAAGCTGAGTGGTACATAGAGACTGCCCATGAACCCTCCTGCCTCTACTTATGCTCTTAAGGGCACTTGTGATTACACTGGGCCCACCTGGATAATCTAATATACTCTCCCCATCTGAAGGCCATCTGTCATGTAAGGTGATCTAGTCACAGGTTCTGGGGATGATGAGGTGACATATTTGTCGGCAGCAAGGAGGGGGCGTTATTCTGCCTAACACAGGGGTCTCCAGACTCTGGGATCTAATGCCTGATAAGCTGAGGTGGAGCTGATTTAATAGAAATGAAGTGCACAATAATGTAATGCATTATTATATACAATATATAATTATATACAACATATATTTATATAATATGTAATTTATATATTCTATATTACATATAGAATATATATTATATATTCTATATATATTTATATATATATTTATAATATATATCCTATATTATATAACCCAAACCATCTCTCCCCACCCCATCTATGGAAATTATACATAATATATATTTATATAATATGTAATGTATATATTACATATATTATATATATATAACATATATTATATATAATATATGTTATATATTATATTATATAACCCAAACCATCTCTCCCCACCCCATCTATGGAAAACTTGTCTTCCATGAAACCAGTCCCTAGTGCCAAAAAGGTTGGGGGCCACTGACCTACCATTGCGATTTTTTTCCCTCTTCTTAATTCAACAGGGGATGTCTGACAGTAGGATTATATATGCTACTTTTGTTTCTTTATATTTTATTGCATTTTTAAATAAAATAATAAATATCATTTAAAATTAATTAATTAGAAGAATACCTTAAAAAAAAAACTGAGCGATTAATAAAAGCTTAGGTCTGATTCTCAGCAGGCACTCAGTCAATAGAGGTTCCCCTCCCCTCTCTGATCGTGACCTTCAGGAAATCCCTTCTCCAAAGTCAGAGTTCAGAGATATTTAAGAGATGGGGAAACTCCTGAACCTTAAGGCCTCTTATCTCAGCTGTACAACGACTTGGCTGAAATGCTATACTGGGGGTTCAGGCATTGGAAAGGGGACTGTATTACAGTCAAGGTTCTCAATTCCGGTTGTAAAATGAACTCACCTGGGGAGCCCCACCCACACTACGTGAATCAGTCCATAGGGGTGGGGCCCAGGCATCCATATTGGTTTCTAAAAGCATCCCTGGTGATTCCAATATGCAGCCAAAGCTGTGAACCACTGGGTCACAGTGGCAGACCTTTGCCCAGTAAGAGGCCCATGCTGGTCTGCAGCAAAGACTTCGCTGGTCAGTGTCACAGTGAGAATAACCAGGCCAAGGTAGTTCAAAGATCTTGTTAGAGCTGAAGGTTTTCAACTTAAGCTTCATTCTTTATTGAGTAACTACAGGTGTCTTGCTGCTGTTGTTAGAAAGTCCTTTCTTTTATAAAATTGGGACAGATGGCCAGTAGTTGACTGTTTTCGTGCCTTCAGTAAAATAAAAAGTTGGGAACTCTGTCACCAGGATTTTTTTGAAATGCTAGTGGTCCCTGAAATCCCATGATTTGGAAACACTGGCTTGGAGGGCCTGCAAGGTGCTCTCTTCTGATCTGAAATTTCCACACTTCTGGGTTTTCAAAGCTGAGAGGTAAAAGCCCTGACTCAAGCCTCTCTGAGAACTCTCAGAGGCCTCAGTCTTGCTCCCAGAAACAGAAGTCTGAGGAGAAAGATGTGTACACTGAGAGTTATTATTAAACAAAGTTACAACCTCAAGAAAAAGAGATGAAGTGAGTGACGGTCACTCAGTTGTGTCCGACTCTCTGTGATCCCATGGACTATACAGTCCATGGAATTCTCCAGGCCAGAATACTGGAGTGGGAAGCCTTTCCCTTCTCCAGGGGATCTTTCCAACACAGGGATTGAACCCAGGTGTCCAGCCTTGCAGGCAAATTCTTTACCAGCTGAGCCACAAGGGAAGCCCAGGACACGTCTATTTACCATTCCTCCACTTCATCACTATTTACATACTTTTCTCAATGGTTCTTTCTTTAAAAAACAAAACACTCCTAACATTTTCAGAGGTTTTTTTTTTTTTTAATTTTTAAAAAAAAATTATTCATTTTTCTGCATTGGGTCTTCACTGCAGCAAATAGGTTTCTCTCTAGTTGAGGTGCTTGGGTTCAGTAGGCCTGAGGTATATGGATCCTAGTTCTCCTACCAAGGATCAAACCTCTGTCCCTTGAACTGGAAGCTGGATTCTTAGCTAGTGGGTCACTAGGGAAGTCCTTCAGTGGTTCTTTCTGATTTCCGGGTAATTATTTTGCTGAAAAGAATACACAGTATTCCTAAAATAAAACTCCCATGGTCTGGCAGTCCAGGTGGGTCTTTGCTCCGTGTCTCCAGTCACTCTGCATTTTAGAGCCGGTGACAAGGAGGTGACCAAGTGCAGAGACTGAGACAGGGTCACAGGCACCTCCTGGGGGCAATCACAAAAAGCTGTGACGATGCTTTCCTTGTGCCCTGAGGAACTGTCACCACATCCAACTGGCTTCTGGCCTGTGGTGACCTTTGCAGGACTGCGGAGCTGCTACTCACTCTTGCTGGCTGACTGGCCTGAGGATTCCAGCTATACGCCAGAGCAGATGGAGCCAGGGACCTGGGGCACAGGACGGCCTGTTCCAGCACCACAATGTTTCGGAGATGTCAGAGGTGACCAGGTGACCCTTCATCCGCCATGCTGGGCCAGATGGAATCAGATTTCCCACCAAGTTCCCTGGGTGACTTCCTCGGATCTCTGGCTCCATTGCTGACAAACTGAAACTTCATGCAAGTTACTTTCCCTCTCTGAGTCTCAGGCATTGAGAAATAAAATTCTACTGGAAGAATCCAGTCCCATCGGGAGGGGCATAGAAGGGATTTAGGGACTTTAAAGGTCATGGTGCTGTTTCTTTTCTTAAACTAGGTGCTGGGCACATGGAAATTTATTGTATTTTTTTTTAATAATGAGTGCATATTTTAAAATCAATATTCCTTTATCTGTATATAATAGTTAATACAAAAAAAGAAAAAATGAAGGACACACACACACACACACACAAAATCCAGTCCTTTGGAAACTGGCTCTTTGAGCTTGACCACTGCAGGCTGGCACGGGCCCTGCCAGCAGGCTGTTCCCTAACACCGCACTTGTTGAGTCTGTTTGACTCATCCTGGCCCCAAGCTCCGCAGAGTCCCAGCATCTGGGACCTGCACTCGGGGGAGGGCCCATGTGCCTCTCCTCCCCACTGAGCAGAACACGAAAACAAAACGGCGAATGTGCGAGTAGGCATGCTGACACTGGTAACTCTCGTCTAAACTGAATTCTTAAACACATGAGAAGTCTGAGTATATTCAGCCTAGGTGTAAAGACCTCACGAAGTCTCCACTCTCACGTCCACACGACCAGGCTGAAGATGCCCTGGACAAACAGAATGACTCATAGTTGTCTTGCCCCAAACAGACACGCCAAGTCTGAGCGTTCTCTGCTGCAGGAGCTGCTCCTGGCAGCCAACGCTGTCTGTGGGCCCTTCAGACAAGCTCAACTTGCCCAGTGAGCCAGCAACAGCATTTATTAGCTCATCCAGGTTTCCGGAAACCCCATCCTTATTTTTTGTGTCTCATCACCCCAGAGAGCATAAAATAGTTCAAGTTTTGAAAAATATGTTTATTTCAATGACTCTGAGTGGCTCTGGTTATCAAGCCTGAAGCTTTGATCATGAAAATATGCAGGAGACCTCCCTGTGTAATTAATACTACTAATAATAACAGTGGGGCTATTTACATTTATTCTTTCTCAGACCTCAAACACCCCTGAAAGATACTCTGACAGATGGAAAAACGGGAGACTCAGAAAGGTTAAACCACTTGCTAGTAATGGGAAAGCCAGAATTCAGACTCAAGACTGTCTGGCTCCAGACTCTGTTTAGCAAAATGGGATGAAAGATCTCACCTGAGGGAGACACCCTCTGTGGGAGAGACTGCCAGAGCAACTCCATCTTAGGGGAAAGAGGACCAATGTCCCCCAGACTCACCCCATCACAAACTGGGGTATGTTCACATGTCCTGTGCCTTTGGGACTTGCCAAGGGGCCCCAGGCTGACTCTGAGAGCCCTCTACTGGGTGACTCTTATCTGTTCAATGAGGATGCCATGAGCAGAAGATGCTACTTCCTGCTTCCGATCTGCTCAACTGGTCACTGCCCCACCTGGAGGAGCAGCCCTACTTGTCCTGCCCACTCACCTGTTTACCTTTGCTAAGAGGCCCACTCCTATAGACAGGTTTCTCTCTAGCAGCTGGTCAGTTTCACTTCCCAGTTGATACTCAGCAGCCCCAAAACAACAACAAAGACATTTCCTCTGAAGCCTGTCCTCCCCAGGTTTACTGACACCTTGCTGTGCAAGGAAAGTTCTACAGCTCCCTTCCCGTTTTAGAGAATCAGATGGTGCTGGGCCACTGGCACTGCTTCTTTATTAGGGAAGTCCAAAAGTCCCTTCCACAGAGATTGGGACTGACATATATACAACACTACCATATATAAAATAGATAACTAATAAGGACCTATTGTATAGCACAGGGAGCTCTCTAATAGCCTGTATGGGAAAAGAATCCAAAAAAGGAGTGTATGTATGTATATATATAATTGATCCACTTTGCTACATACCTGAAACTAACACATTATAAATCAACTAATCTCCAATAAAAACTATTAAAAAAAAAAAAAAACCATCCACAAACATTTGAACATTTGTTATGTTGTTCTGTGTGTCATCAGGTGTAATCCTGGATGCTGGGGACACAGAGGTGACTGAGTCATGAGGCTACTCTTAGGGAGCCCACAAACAGTGCAAAGAACCCAGAGGACACAGAGCCTGACTGAGGGCAACAGCAGGAAATGCTAAAAAGAACTACTAGATCAGCACTAGGCTGACTTCGGAGGAAGAGCTTGAATGGGTCCTCACAGCAGGCAGGAAGTCTATGGCTGCCCGTTTGTTATGTATGGTACAGCATGGGGAAAATGGCTCAAAGCCAATGAATGTTTCAGAGCCACACTGTCCAGCATGACAGCCACTAGCCATGTGTAGCTTCTTTAAATTAGATTAAAATTTCAGCTCCCCAGTCACACTCGTGGCTACTCTATTGGACTGGGCAGATACAGGGCATGTCTATCATCACAGAAAGCCCTACTGGGCAGTGCTGGCTAGAGGCTCCTGCATTTGGATGCCAATGCCAGCCCTTCTACTTACCAGTCTTGCACCCTTCAACAAGCGACTCTATCTTTCTGTACCTTAGTTTTCTCATCTGCAAACGGGGATACTTTTCCTCAAAGTCTAGTATGAAGATAAAATGAGCTGATGCACATAACATTCTTAGAACCATAGCGACCAGGTACACAGTCAGTGCTCAATAAATGCTGGTTCTTTTTTATTTTACCACTTGTGTGTAGCACCGAGGGGCAGATATTGTGCTTCATGTCACTGCTGGCACAGCAGGTACCCAAAAAATTGCCTGTTCATTCCTAACCACCCCCACCCCCCACCGGCTGTTTTCATCCAGGGCGAGGTGACACAAACCTGTGCCAGAGGGTGCAAGGTGGGGGTACTCACATCTGTAGAGATGGTTCCACACGGGGAAGAAGGCCATGTAGAGGGCCACATCCCCCACCGTCGGGTAGGACTTGAAGATGGCGATGATGGCAATCTGGATGAACATGAAGAAGATAGGGTGCTCCCTGGGGCAAGATGGGGCAGAGAGAGAGAGGGGGAGGTCAGTCAGGGACCAGGCCCACCCGAGTCTCCTCATCCCAGCCCTGAAACCCAAATACACTCTCAAGGGGACTTTACGAAGGCAGGCTCCACCACCCACAAAACACAGGGCCAGGCCCAGCAGGAAGGCAAAAAACTGCAGGGACCCAAAGATGCCCACAGGTAGTGAGAAGAACCCAGCCCACACTAGAGACAGCCCACAGAGACATTTCCCATCAACCCCCACCCCCTGCAGCTCCGGGCCTTCCCCCAGGAGCCCAGAGGAGGAAAACAAATGAAGTCAGCAGCCTCTACCACTGGGTTTAAATGACTGCTTGTCAGAGTAATTAGACAGCACCCTTGCCAGAGGCCCCTGATATTGGACCCGGGCAGGAAGTACCTCCTGGCCAATGCTTGTTTTCTCTGACAACAGGGTCAGTGGGGACTACAGATCTCTAGCTGTGATGAGCTCCTTTCCTGAAACGGCTGCATGCAGCTTTCTGTTCTTAAGGGTTGGAACTGGGGGCTTTCCTGGTGGTCCAGTGCAAAGGCTCTGTGCTCCCAATGTGGGGGCCTGGGTTTGACCTCTGGTCAGGAAACTAGATCCCACAGCCACAACTAAGAGTTTGCATGCCGCAACTCAGACCTAATGCAGTCAAATAAATAAAAATGAACTTTAATGGGAGAGGGAGTGGCTGGAACTGGAGTTCTAGTCACCTTAAACTAGTAAGACTGGCTGCCATTTCCTGAGCGTCCACTTGTGCTCAGTTCTGCGCTAGGCATCTTTTCCTGCATCCTTACACATGCTCCTCACTACCTCCCACCTAGAAGGAAGCAATGCTGTCGCTGTACTTTGCGGATGAGGAAATCAGGTTCAGAGAACGTAAGAGAGTTCGAAAGTGATGGAGTGGCTTGTCTTCAGAGCACCTAAGCACCGCCAGTGCTGTTCTCCCGAGTGCCCAGCAGGACCACAGCTCTGATCAGGAAGGCTGCGTCAGCCTCCAGTGCTCCTCCAAGAGCTGACTGAGTGCAGAAGAGAATCTGCCAGGAAGAAGCCAGATGTGTACCCTCCTCAGGTCTGAACAATGTGCACATGGCCTACTTCTGCACAGGACCCAGAAGGGTGTCTTCAGGTTAATGCCCAGCTCAGGAGGGTGTCTTCAGGTTAATGGCATCCTTGCCTTGTAGGTCAAAGGTCAGGTCACTCAGTGGATGTAAATCTGAGATGTGGAGACAACTTTGTACACACCCAAATACGACTAGGAGGCAAATGACTCAGAAACTCAGCTAAAAAGTTTCTGAGTCAAAGTTTCTGACTGCAAACTCACACAGTCCTGTAATCTCTAGGAAGGGTCTGACTATCTCAGTGAGCATTTTCCTAAGGCTCATCCGAGTCATTGGTTTGGGCTTTCTAGGTAGCTGGTAACAGCTGCACCATTCCCAGGAAAAGGCTAGCAACAAGGTGGTACCAAAAAACATGGTGAATGTATGGCTGAGTCCCTTTGCTGTTCACCTGAAACTATCGCAAAACTGTTAATTGGCTCTACTCCAATACCAAATAAAAAAAGTTTCTTTTTTTTTTTTTAAACCCACACAACATTGAGGACTTCCCTGGTGGCTCAGTGGTAAAGAATCCACCTGCCAACACAGGGGACAGGGGTTCAATCCCTTGTCTAAAATGATTCCACATGCCGCGGAGCACCTAAGCCCGTGCGACCCAACTACTGAGTCCACACCCTAAAGCCAGAGAGCCGCAACTACTGGGCCTGCTAGCCACAACTAGTGAAGCCCATGTGCCTAGAGCCTGTGCTCCGCAACAAGGGAGGCCACTGCAATGACAAGCCGGCACATCACAACTGGAGTGTAGCCCCTGCTCGCCACAAGTAAAGAAAAGCCTTAAAAAAAAAAGAAAAGCCTGTACAGCAACAGAGACCCAGGAGAGCCAAAAATAATAAATAAGCAAATACATAAAAACAAATATGGACACCAGAACCTCCTGCAAGAGCCCCTGGGGAGCGGTGACTGGAGGCCCTGTTCTCGCAAAGCTGGCACTGCAGGGGCTGGAGTGGAACTCTGTATCCAGACACAGGAAGGCAGCCAAGAGGGAGATCAGGTATCTTCATACCTTCTATTCCCACAGCTCTGTGGCCCTTGGTGGGGGTTGCAGGGAGGGTGTCACAAGATGGTGGTGGTCCCCAGGAGCTATCTGTGGCCTATCCGTGGCCTTTCACATGCCAACAATAGAAGGTGCTGGAGAACAGGCTACACAGAGTTGAGGAAAGGTGCGTCGGGTTCCCTGCTTCTTTCAGCCTAGACCCAGGCCTGACCAGAACAGGGGTAGGACATATGGACCACAGACATCTGGAGAGCCTGGCTGAGTAAGGCTGCCAGAATTCTGGAGCCTGCCAGGCCAAGAAAGAAGGCTTTTTCTGTCAGATGCCAGGCCAAGGCTATGTCATAAGAAGGGAACATCAGCTCTGAGCTTTACAGAAAGGGAACTGTGTGCCTTGGTTCACTGGCCATGGAGAATGAATGGAAGGTCAGAGGAATGAACTCAAGCTCTTGAAATCTAAATCCAGCCCTTCTACCTCCCTGGACCACCCAGCTGTATCTATGCTGATTGGTGCCTGTTTGCCCCTCTCTGAAGCTAGGATAACAGAACCATTTCTGGGAGCTATTTAATACTATATGTGATCTCTCTCAGGAGCTTGGCAAGGTGCAGAGGTCTGAGCATAAATTCTGGAGCCCAACAAACCTGGTAACCCCAGCTCCACTACTAACTGGCTGTGTGACTCTGGGAAAATCGTTTCACCTCTCTGAATAGCAATTTCCTCGATTAGCAAACGGAAGTGACAGTAACATAACGCCTACCTCCAAGAGTTGCTGGAAGGGTTAGGCACGAATATAACTCAAAAAGGTGGGCTGGACAACACATGTTAGCTCTCTTACTCTGCAGAAGAGTATGCATAGGCAATCCATTTGAGGGAGGTTGGTCAGAGCTTCAGGTGACCAGCCCCCCAACTAACACCTCCTGAGTCCCTTTGGGCAAACTATCACTGGGACGCAGCTAGAGGGCTCCCAGCAAGATCCTCTTTTTCCAAGGATATCATCCCCACCTCAACCCTGCTCTTGTCTAAAACAGTGACTGGGGAGGTGGGAGGGAGGTTCAATAGTGAGGGCACATATATATACCTATGGCTGATTCATGCTGATGTATGGCAGAAACCAACACAATATCATAAAGCAAAGATCTTTCAATTAAAATATATTTTTTTAAAATGAAAAAATAAAAAGAATAAAATAAGTTGTGATATATACACACACAAACACACAAATCAGTGACTGGGCTCAGCAGCAATGTGGGTTCAAGTACCCCAAAGTGAGGCCAGGGGGCATATGGGGCTCCAAAGCACTGCCCCTATAGCTGGCACCTCATGTGTCACCCTCCTGCAGTGTACAGTCACTGAAGCAACTCCGGGTGAGGTTCCCTGGGCATAAATGCCTCAAACCCAATAGCAGATGCTCCGAGTGAGAAGGACATCTGTAAAGCTACCAATGACTCTGGACACAAAAACCCAGTAGGTCCAACCACTTACTTCAGCTTTATAGCTAACGGGATGGTGTAGAAGAAGACGTTGATCTGAAACACACACACAAAGAAGAGGCTGAAGTGCTCAAACATCTCTGCAAAAAAGTACCAGAAGAGACCAATGTTCGGGGTGAGATCTGGAACAGAAAGTCTGGAATGAAGAAAACAAAGGGAGAGAAAAAACAGAGCCAAGTTAGAAACAACCTGCTTTGACCTGCTTTTCTCCTGAACGTTTTGGTCACTGCTGGGCAGTCAAGGAAGACTCTGTCTCCACGGAGATCAGGATGTGAGGGGCTCTCTGGGCACCCCGGATATAGGTAATTAACAAAAACAGGGGCAGAGACCCAGAGAAAAATAACCCATAAAAAGGATCACCTGAGCCAAATTCTGGCATGCATCAGAGATCTGAAACAAGGCAGGGATTCATGCTCGAAAGCAAAAGACCAGCCCCTTCTTTTCCTGCCCCAGATATGTATGCTCAAAACCAGGAGATACCTAGCACTGTTGCAAAAGAGGAATGGGTTTGAAATAGGTTCCTGTAACCTATTTTGAGCATTCTAAGGATTTGTCTAGGGGAAAAGCTCAAAGATCCTGTTACTGCCCATTCTTTCTCCAGATGCATACAGCAGGAGCCAGAAGACTGAGTGCCTCACACAGAAGTGAGACTTCCAGGGGTCCAAGGAACCACTGCCAGGTTCTAGCAATGATCCCAGACCTTGCTGGAGAAATGGGGTTTAACTGGAAAACTTTTTGTCTGGTGATATCAGATAAAGATTGGTTACAATTCTGGCTGTTCTAAAAATCTTACATAACATTAAAAATATACATATGGGGTTGAAACAGATGTCAGTTCAGTTTTAAAAGCACAAGGGAAGCATGGAAAGGAAGATAGAGGCCATGGTTCATGGTCAGCTTTCAGACAAGACCATGGTTCACGGTCAGATTTCACTGAAGAAGGCCTCCACCCAGGCAAGCTTTGCTTCTTGTTGTAACTATATTTCCTTTTCTGTGAAATGAGGTAAAGAACACAATCTGTGCACCAGCAGAAAATTAGGAAAAGTTTTTCGTCCGGCATTACAAACTCTTATAGGAGGCAGAGCGTGAGAAGCTGAAGGTTATTAAGTCACTATATTAGGCTCAGCCAGGATTTAACACAAATAAGCAGCCCAGAATCCTAAAGGGAAGCCAGCCACAGACCCCCTTCCCACCCTGGTGGGGTTAAGTGTCCATGTCCCTCTGGGCTGTGAGTTCCTTCAGGCCTGAGCTGGTATCCTCCTCAGCAGACCACAGAGAGGATATCTGGAAACATCTGCAGAATTCATCTTGCAAACCCATTTTGATTTTCTCTATACGTTTGACATATGGAATGTGTTAAGTCACTCAGTCATGTCCAACTCTCTGTGACCCCATGGACTGCAGCCCACCCCTCCTCTGTCCATGGAATTCTCCAGGCAAGAATATTGGAGTGGTATTCTTCTTCTCCAGGGGATCTTCCCGATCCAGGGATCAAACCTAGGTCTCCTACTTTGCAGGTGGATTCTTTACCATCTGAGCCACCAGGGAAGTCCCCTTACATATAGAAGGTGTCTTTATTTAAAACTGTTGGAGACCCTTTTGCAATAGAGGAATAAATACATCCCTTCCTGTTTGGGACTGAATCAAAACCTTCTAGTTCGAGGCTGATAAGTGCTTTGGATAGTCCCAGAGAGTGTTCTTTAATTGACTTAGATCAAACAAGTGGTTCTTGAAGTGTGTTCCTCAGATTGGCAGCATCGTACCACTTGAAAATGTATACATATAGATACGCAAATTCTGGGGTCCTAATGAGAGGATAACAGGCAGGAAGGCCAGGGGTCTCCAAAGAGAGGAAATAGGCTGCAAGTGTCAGACATGTTTTTATTTTTCTCTTAAGTGGCAGGAGAAAGCAAACTACAAGTGTCAGCTTTTTTTCCCTTCTCTATACAAAATTAAAAGGAAGTTTCTCTTAAAATTCTGTGTTGCCATGACGACACCTGGTTCCAACTGAACTTAACTTTTCTCAAACTTTGAACTAACCAATGCATTTTTCTTATGGAAATGTTTTTCTTAAGCTATGTTAATGACCTATGTATTTACCCTAGACTCTGTCTTCAAGTTGGCTCCGCCTAACACTCAGAACTTGACAAACCAGTATGTTTTACTCATAAAATTGTTCTCCTAATCTATGTTAATGAATCTATATATTTACTTGGAAACCTGCATTTCTTCAAGATGCATGCCAATCATTCTATGGCCCGGGATGACTCACCTGCTGTCAATGTTATCTCAAAATGGATGTTGTGGGTGAGGGGCCTGGTGCCACTCAGACTTTTGAGATATCTCCTCTCTCTAATTAACAGCCTGCTGCTAGGTATATAATATCCTGCTAAAGGCTAGCAGGGGGGCACTCTTTCTGCCCCTCTCTGACGTCTATGCCAGAAGCTTTCTCTATCTCTTTTATACTTTAATAAAACTTTATTACACAAGAGCTCTGAGCGATCAAGTCTCATCACTGGCCCGGATTGAATTCCTTCTCTGGAGGCCAAGAATCCCGAGGTCTTTCATGGCTCAGCAACAACCTTTCACTTACCCCAGACTTACTTCATCAGAACCTATGGAGGTGGGGCCCAGCAACCTGGGTGTTCAAGCCCTGCAGTGATTCTGGCGCACACCAATGTGAGGACCACTGCTCTAGATGTGGCCTCTGCTTGTTCTCCCTCTGATACCAGATGGAGCTGTGAAAACTAAATCAGCTTCCAGAGTTTTCTAATGGGGACATTACTTACATGAAGCCATAGACTGCAGGGATGAAATCCCAGGAACTGAGAAGGAAGAAGGAGAGGCAAACGACTACCAATAGACTTCCCACATACATCATGGCATACTCCCAAGAGAAGATCCAAAAGGCTTTGCTCTTCACCTTCACAGGTATGTACTGCCGCTAGGAGAGAAGGCAGAATGGTACACTTAAGGATCTCAAAGACAAAGAGCAGTTATGAGTCAACTTTAAGATCCTTCCAGAAAAAAAACACAGGATACAGAATAGGTGAAAAATCTAAGGACTGAAAAGATATGCTAGGTAAAGTGAAAATGTTAGTCACTCAGTCATGTCTGACTCTTTGCAACCCCATGGACTGTAGTCTGTCAGGTTCCTCTGCCCATGGAATTCTCCAGGCAAGAATACTGGAGTGGGTAGCCATTCCCTTCTCCAGGGCATCTTCCTGAACCTGGGATTGAACCCAGGTTTCCCAACTTGCAGGCAGATTCTTTACCTTCTGAGCTTAGGTAAACACTAACCAAAAGAAAATTAGTTTGGCTATTGTTACCAGATAAAATAGACTTTAAATTAAAAAAAATAGACTTTAACATAAAAAGTATTGTAGAGATAAAGATGTTCTATCATGATAAAAGTGTCATCAGAAAGATATTACAGTTCTAAACTTGTATGTACCTAATAACGCAATCTCAAAATATATAGAACAAACACGGACAGAGTTACAGAGGAAAAATACACAAATCCACCATCAATGCATAACTGGTAGATCTAATAGACAAAAATCATAATGAAATAGAAATATGAACAGCACACTTCATGAACTTGTTCACATAAGATCTTACAAAACAAACACATTTATAATTCCATACATTGAGTCATATTTACAGTATTCTATTTATCAGAAGCAAGTCACTGGTTTTGATCATACTCAAAGGGACTGTTATTAACATTAGTCCACCACAGTTGATTTAACACCTGAAAAATCAATTAATGTAACATCCCATACTAACAGATTAATATACCCAGATCAGCTGCATTTCTATATACTTTAATGAGCAATTCAAAATTGAAATTAAGCAGAATTCATTATAGTGTAAAAGAGAAAAAATACTTAAAAATAAAATTAACAAATGTTAAGTACAAGGTATGCACACTATAACATATGTAATAAATAAACTATAAAATATTGCTGATGGATATTAAAGATCCAAAGAGGTATTTAAAAAATACACTTATATAAAACAGTATGCTTGGAGAATTCACATTCATTTAAAACATTTTGCTGCTGCTGCTGCTAAGTCACTTCAGTTGTGTCCAACTCTGTGCAACCCCATAGACAGCAGCCCACCAGGCTCCCCCACCCCTGGGATTCTCCAGGCAAGAACACTGGAGTAGGTTGCCATTTCCTTCTCCAATGCATGAAAGTGAAAAGTGAAAGTGAAGTCGCTCAGTCGTGTCCAACTCTTAGCGACCCCATGGACTGCAGCCTACCAGTCTCCTCCGTCCACGGGATTTTCCAGGCAAGAGTACTGGAGTGGGTTGCCATTACCTTCTCCATAAAACATTTTGGGGGATTAGTAAAAACTGACCACAGGCACTCCCCTGGTGGTCCAGTGGTTAAGAATCCACCTTGCAATGCAGGGGATGCGTGTTCAATGCCTGGTCAGGGAGCTAAGCTTCCACATGCCACAGAGCATCTAAGCCCAACCACTGCAATTACTGAGCCTGTCAGTCACAACTGGAGTCCATGTGCTGCAGTGAAAGACCCTGCACGACACAACAAACGGCCCACACGCCACAACTAAGACCTGACACAGCTTAAAAAAAACAAAGACCATATACCTTAATCAGGCCACAAAGCGATATCTACAAACTTTAAATAAAGAATCTGTACCATACAGACCCCATTCTCTGACCATAATGTAATTGATCAAAATCATTAATAAAAAGATAATCTAAAAACACATTAGGAAAATTTTAAACACTTTTGTAAATAACTCAGGAGTCAAAGAAGGAATGATAATAGAAAGCTCTGATATTAGAAATTAATGGTTATGAAATATCTTAGGTAGGTAAAACAGTACTCTGAGGGAAGTACTTTTTTGTGTGTGTGGTTGCACAGTGTGGCTTATGAGATCTCAGTTCCCTGACCAGGGATTGAACCTGTGCCCCCCTGCAGTGGAAGCATGAAGTCCTAGCCACTGGACCACCAGGGAAATCCCCATATAAACTTATATTTGAATACAAGGCTGAAAATAAATAAACATCCATTTTAAGATTTTAGAAAAAGAACAGAATAAACTTCAAAAGAAGGAAGGAAATAATAAAGGTAAGAGTAGAATCTGTGGAAACAGAAAACAAAGTAACGACACAGGCATACTATTTTTTTTTTACTTTTTTTTTTTATTGCGCTTTGGCATACTTCCTTCATAGATTTCACAGACACTGTTTATCACAAACTGAAGGTCTGTGGCAACCCTATGGGCACCATTTATCCAAAAGCATTTGCTTACTTTGTGTCTCTGTGTCACATCCAGCAATTCTTGCAACATTTCAAACTTTTCCATCATTATTATGTTTGTTATGGAGATCTGTGATCAGGGGTCTTTGATGTTACTATTATAACTGTCTAGGTGAACACACCCATACAAGAGGAGAACTTAACTTATAAATGTTGTGTATATTCTGATTGTTCCGCTCACATAAATGTTGTGTGTATTCTGATTGCTCCGCTCACCAACTGTTCCCATTTCTCTCCCTCTTCTCAGGCCTCCCTATTCCCCTGAGACATAATAATACCAAAATTAAGCCAACTAATAACCCCACGATGGCCTCTAAGTGTTCAAGTCAAAGGAAGTATTGCACGTTTCTTACTTAAAACCAAAAGTGAAAGTCTCTCAGTTGTATCCGACTCTTTGCGATGAATTCTCTAGGCCAGAATACTGAAGTGGGTAGCCTTTCCCTTCTCCATGGAATCTTCCCAACCCAGGGATCGAACCCAGGTCTCCCGCACTGCAGGCAGATTCTTTACCAGCTGAGCCACAATCAAAAGGTACACATAATTAAGGAAGGCACATCAAAAGCTGGGATAGGGTGAAGCTAGGCCTCTTGCACCGAACAGTTAACCGAGCAGTGTATCCAAAGGTAAAGTTCTTGAAAGGAATGAAAAGCACTACTCCAGTGAATTCACAAATGATAAGAATGCAAAACAACCTTACTGCTGATGTGCAGACCAGCCACAACAATGCCTTAAGCCAAAGCATCATCCAGAGCAAGGCCCAACTCTCTTTAATTCTATGAAGGCTAAGAGAGGAGACAAACCTGTAGAAGAAAAGTTTGAAGCTAGCAGAGATTGGTTCATGAAGTTTAAGGAGAGAAGTCCATCTCTGTAACAGAAGTGCAAGGTGAAGCCACAAGCATTGATGTAGAAGTGCCAACAAATCATCCAGAAGATCTACCTAAGAGAATTAATGAAGGTGGCTACACTGAACAACAGATTTTTAATGTAGACGAAACAGACTCACACTGCAGGAAGATGCCATCTAGGACATTCACAGTTAGAGAGAAGAAGTCAATGCCTGGCTCCAAAGCTTCAAAGATCAGGCCAGTTCTCTTATTAGGGGCTAATGCAGCTGGTGACTAAGTTGAAGCCAATGTTCACCTACCATTCCTCAAATCCTAGGGCCCTTAAAAATGATTCTAAATTGACTTTGCAAACACTCTTTCTATAAATGGAAACACAAAGACTGGATGACAGCACATCTCTTTACAGTATGGTTTACTGAATATGTTAAGTCTATTTTTGAGACCTACTGCTCAGAAAAAAAAAAGGTTTCCTTTCAAAACATAACTGCTCATTGACAATGCACCTGGTCATCCAAGAACTCTGATAGAGATGAACAACGAGATTAATGTTCTTTGCAAGCCTGCTAACACACGTGCATGGGGCTTTCCTGGTAGTTGGTGAAGAATCCACTTGCAATGCAGGAGATCCCGGTTCAATTCCTGGGTCTGGAAGATCCACTGGAGAAGGGCTAGGCTACTCACTCCATGATCTCTGGGCTTCCCTGGTGGCTCAGCTGGTAAAGCATCTGCCTGCAATGCGGGAGACCTGGGTTGGGAAGATCCCCTGGAGAAGGGAATGGCTACTCACTCCTGTATTCTGGCCTGGAGAATTCCTTGGACTGTATAGTCCATGGGGTCACAAAGAGCTGGACTGAGTGACTTTCACTTTCACCACACATCCACTTTGCATCCCATGGATCAAGGAGTCACTTCAACTTTCAAATCTTATTATATAAGAAATACATTTTGGGGGCTTCCCTGGTGACTCAGTGGCAAAGGATCTGACTGCCAATGCAGGAGACACATGGGTTCAATCCCTGGTACGGGAAGATGCCACATGCCATGAAGCAACTAATCCCATGTGCCACAACTACTGAGCCTGTACTCTAGAGCCCAGGAGCTGCAACTACTGAAGCCTATGCACCTAGAGCCTGTGCTCTGCACGCTCTAGGTGAAGAGAGGAGAAGATAAGCCACCGCAAAAAGAAGCCTGAGCACCACAATTAGAGAGAGATCTGCTAGCTGCAACTAGAGAAAAATCCACAAGGCAATGAAGACCCAGCAAAGCCAAAAATTAAAATAAGTAAATAAAATTACTTAAAAAAAGAAAAACATTTTGTAAGTCTATAGCTGCCACAGATAGTGATTTCTCTTTTGGATCTAGGCAAAGTGAATTGAAAACCATCTGGAAAGGATTCTAGATCAGTAAGAATATTCAACATTCATGGGGAGGTCAAAATATCAAAATTGATAGAAGTCTGGAAGAAGCTGACTCCCATCCTCATAGAGGACTTAGAGGCCTTCAGGTCTTCAGTAGAGAAAGTAACTGTAGAGGTGGTAGAAACAGCAAGACGACTAGAAGTGGAGCCTGAAGATGGGACCGAACTGCTGCAATCTCATGATAAAACTTGATCAGATGAGTTGTTTCTCATGGATGAGCAAAGAAAGTGGTTTCTTGAGACTGAATCTACTCCTGGTGAAGATGCCGTGAAGCATACTGAAATGACAATAAAGACTTAGAATGCTATATAAACTTAGTTGATAAAGCAGTAGCAAGGTTTGAGAGAACTGACTCCTATTTTGAAAGAAGTTCTACTGTGG